CCATTGTTACATATAACAAACCAAACATATAAAAGTGAACTGAACATTCAAGATAGGTCCTTTTATACTTCTAGTTTCTTATAGCAGTTTATATAATTTATTATTTAATATTTTCTTGTTCTGATAATACATGTTTCTTGTAGAAAATTTAGGAAACACAAGCATAATGAAAAAATCAAAATCCACTATCCAGAGATAAATATGGTTATATGATTATACATATTCTGATATATTTTGTCTAAATATATGTAAGTGGCACATATAATGAATAAATTGTATATATGAGATATACTCTTCCTTTTTCATTGAGGATTTCTCCATGCATACTTTTCTCATACATGAAAGAATTTTCAAACATGGTTTTGATGATGGCTATGTCATTTCATCATATGGCTGTACCATACTTTATTTAACTTTTCCCCTCTTGTCAAACATTTAAATTCTTTCAAGTTTTTTTTCTTTTTAAATCAAAATGACTCTTTGATGAACATTCTTACACAACAATCTTTGGCATTTTTCCTGAGACTATAATTCCTAAGGCCAGGCATGAACAGTTCTTAAAATTCTTAGAAAATTTTACTACATTCCTGTCCCCAAAAGTCATACTAATTACAGTGCCACCAACAGGATATGAGATGCCTACTGGTATTACGCTTAAGTCAAAGTAAACACAAGAATTTAAAAACAAGTTTTTAGAAAAATCTGATCTTAAAAATGTGAATTCTTTTAGTTGCTTTTGGATTTCAAATATAAGTATATTTTTTTTCCTGTGGGAAGTTTTGTTAGAAAATGTAAGTGGTACAATCAACAAGCGTATGATATTTATCAATTAATAAAACCAAGGAGTTTATAAATCATAAAATTTTGAGGGCAGTTTCTCAACTATAATATGTAACTTTGTTTTATTTATAATTACATTATTTCAAAAATATTATATGATAAAAATGAGAAGGAACATAATGTTTGAAGATCATATCAAACTAATAATGTATTTTGATTATCAGTCTGTTACATAAATCTTTGTTTATTTCATATCCTTTTTTGCTGTCATATATATGTATATTTGAAATTTTTATTTAGTATCTTCATTTCTTGTCATGTATGCTTGCAATCATCTTTAATAAAAAATAAAAAGTTTTTTGGCAAGTGTAAAATGATTATCTCAGAGATTGCTGATCACTAAATAGGCTAAAATTTTCAATTTCAATATGTTAATTATTTGTGCTTGTCCTGAAAATTCTCTATTCATACCCATTGCCTACTTTCTTTTCTTTTTGTCTGCCTTTTTATGTTTGACAAGAGGTTTTTTAAACATTAAAAATAGCATTACTTTTCACAAGTTGTAATTAATATAAAATATAATAAAAAGATGTTTTTAACCACTTAACAGTTTACCCCAGGCATCACTCAGGCAGTGTGTTTGTTTACATACCTACAATCCCAAGCATTGCTTTGACAGGTATCATTGTTTTTCCTCATTGAGTTTATTGGTACATTTGAGGTATACTGTGTAGTTAAATTTATCATTGGGGATCTTGTACCTATACATGACAGGTCTAGGTTCTCATTTTTTCCCATACCCCTGCCCTCCCTTCACCCCCTCCATCCTCCCCTATTTACAAACACTTTGCTTCCATTTTTTTCCTTTTCTCATATTTTTTCTTTTTCTTTATTTCCTTTTCCCTACCCTTCACACTTCCCCTACACTTTTAGCCCTTTTCTTCCTTTTTCACATTGGACAGGTATCATTTTAACCAATCAATTTTTGTATTGAATAAATTTGTTAAGATTCTAGTTTTTTTATTCCTGATTATACCATCTTATAAAAATTAATGAAAAATACAATTTTAATTATCCTGTTAAATAATTGGGCTGGCAAGTGTATAATAGCAATATAAACTATAAAGTTTCTGGAAAGATTAGATGGAGAATATTTGCAAACTTTTTAGAAACCTGATAAATGCAAAGCTTGCTCCATTGACACTTGAGAAGACTACACCATAGATGCACTGTAATTTTCACTGTTATATCATAAATTAAATGTAATTAAAACCAAACTAATTTACAGGGCTTTTTTTGGGGGGGGGAACTCAACAGCGAACTAATTCTAAAATTAATATGAAACAGTGATGTGCCCAAAAATTTTTAAAAGTTTTGAAAAATAAGTAAAAATGGTTTACGGAAGAGATCCATTCTACCAGATATCAAAACACACTACATAAAATTATAGCAAGAATGGTATTGACATAGAAATAGACAAATTCATCAATGAAACAGCAGACTAGAGAGCTCCATTTCCAAAAAGAAAGCCATTGATATGCAATGTGGCTTGGTTCACAGATCAGTTGGGAAAAGACCAAATACACTTGCTAAACAGTGTTGGGACAATGGGCCCTCCATGTGGAAAAAAGTTCAAATCAGACCCTTAAATCGCATCCCCAAATAAATTCTCCTAAATTTCTAAAGATGAAAACAAACAAAACAACAATAATAACAAAACAACCAGTTAAAAGAGAAGAGAATACAGAATGAAGACCTAGTACATGCAGCCACCATTTTTGCCTGGTCCTCGCTATCATTTTTCACCCAATCTCCCTGCTTTCTCTCAAGCTTCACTCTGTTTTCTGCCGTGTAGGACACTGTGGCCTTTCTACATTCAAAGCAAGATAGGATCTCATTTGCTTCTCTACAGTGGCCTACAGATGTTCCGTCCTCTGCCTACCTCTCTCACTTTACTTCCTACCACTTGCCGCTGCTCATTAAATTCCTGCTCTGTCGGTCTCCTTGCTGATGATTTCTCAAACAGTCCAGACATCTCTGCCAACTCAGGATCTCTTTGTTGGCTTTTCCTTCTACCTGGAATGCTCTTGTTCCTGGTATGTGCATGACTTATTCCCTCGCTCCACCATGTCTCTGCTTAGAGTGGCTCTAGGGAAAGCAGCTCTTGCGTCTCTCTTTGTCCACTTCCTCTTATTTACTTTTTTCATAGTACTTTTATTGGTGAAAATAGTGTATTAATGTAAATTCCGCAATAGCAAATTCAATTGTCTTATTTATTACTACAAGTAATAGTAGAGCAAAGACTTTGTTTATTGAGTAAATGAATAAATGATCATGAGTTTCCTTCCTTCCTCACTTCCCTCCTCACTTCTCTCCCTCCTTTCCCTTCTCTCCCCTTTCTTTCAACAAGACATAAAATGTCAAAACATAAAGAAAAAATTATGACTTTGTGTATAAAAATATGAAATGCCTGTTTGTTGCATGATATTACAAAACAATTAAAAGCCATATAATGTGCAGAAGAAGGCATTCAAAGTGCATATAACTGAAAAAGATTAGTATCTAGAATATACAAAAAACTTACAAATCAATAAAAAAGAGATAAATAATGCAATAGTAATGAATAAAATATATGGCTAGGTAAGTCACAGAGGAGGACTCTGAATGGTAAATAGACATGTGAAAAGATGTTTAGCCTTATTATTTATCAAGAAACTACAAATTAAAACAATAAGATATTACCTTTTCAACTATGTCAATAGCAAAAAAAGAAGTTAGAAACTATCAAGTGTATGTTGCTTTAATCACCACTGCAAAAAAGATATCGAATGTTTCCGTCACTTTCAAATTTCCACTCTGCCCTGTCCCAGTCAATAACTCTCCGTGCCACATACCCTACAACCTTATCCCCGGGGAACCAATAATCTGCTCTGTCAGTATAGATTAAGTTTTTCTTGTTTAGAGTTTTACAAATAAAATCACACATTATATGCTCTTTAGTGCCTGGCTTCTTTTGTTCGGTAAATGCTATTGAAATTCTCCATGTTTTTGTAGGAGTCAGTACATAGTTCCTTTTTATTGATGAGCAGAATTCCATTGTATGAATGTATCACTCTTTATTTGTCTATTTACCTTTTGATTTAAAGTATCTCCAAATTTTGGCTAATATGAATGAGGTTGCTATGAACATTGGTGTACAAGTCTTGGTATACATATACATATTTGGGAAGATATTTGGGAAATAGCCGCAAGTATAATTGCGAGATTTTGATAAGAATATGTTCAATACCTTAAGAAATTATGTAACTGTTATCCAAAGCTATTGCACCATTTTTCGTTTCCATCAGTGTGTATAAGAGTTCCAGTTTTACACCACTGTCAGTACTTGGTACAGTTGTCTTTTTAATTTCGGCTGTTTTAGTAGACGTGTAATTGTTTTGAATCTCCCTAGTGATTAATGATGTGGAGCATCTTTTTTGTATGTTTATTGACCATTTGTATATATTCTTTTATAAAGTGATCAGATCTTTTGCCCATTTTCATTACATTGTCTTATTTTTATTGAATTACATGAGTATATATTTTGGATAAAAGTAATTATAAAACATTTATAACACACACCCCCTCACATGCATATATCTGCAGTATATATAATTTTGTCCTAATTACAACTTATTTTTCAGTTTTCTTACTGACTTTTGAAAGGCAGAATTTTAAATATGGATAAAGTTCAATTTATTAATTTTTATTTTATAGTTCTTGCTTTTGTGCCCTAAGAAATCCTTGTCTACTTCAAGGCCATAAATGTCACAAAGATATTCATTGATATTTTCTCCTAGAATTTATAATATCAATTTCTACATTTATGTCTGTGATCTATTTTTTTTTTTTTTTGGTATTGGGGCTTGAACTCAACTCTGCACTTGTGAGGCAGGTGGCGAAACCACTGAGCTAAATCCTTGGCCCTGTGTTCTATTTTTTTATGGTGCTAATTTTAAACAGTTTTATTGAAGACATTGCATTTCCACTTATAATGACACAATGCTTATAATGTGCAGTGTTATCCTTTCCCTGTGCATATGTTCCTTATCCAAGTATTGAGTATGCCCAGTACTTTACTACAACAGTTAAACTTTAACAACTGCCACAGAAATTTGCTATAAATTTAGGTCCTTCAATATTTTTGTGTGGAACAATGCTAAATCTATATTTGGGGTTGGCTTAATCAACCTCTTCAATGGTGGGCCCTGAGGAAGCACCCCCAGAAAGAGGAGCTCCTCCACAAGGGAAGCCCCCAGGCCTTCCTCCAGGCACGCCACCTGCACTCTGGTACAGCTTGGTAGTGATGGGATTGCAGACTTTCTGCAGCTCCTTCTGTTGATGTTCCAATTCTTCCTTTTCTGCGGTCTGATTCTTATCCAGCCGGTTGATGATTTCATAACACTTATCAAGAATTTTCTGTTTATCTTGATCATTGATCTTGCCCTGAAGTTTCTCATCTTCAACAGTTGCTTTCATACGGAGAGTATAGGACTCCAGTGAGTTCTTAGAGGACACCTCATCCCTCTGCTTCTCATCTTCAGCTTTGTACTTCTCTGCTTCCTGGACCATACACTCTATGTCCTCCTTGCTCAAATGGCCTTTGTCATTAGTGATGGTCATCTTGTTCTCTTTCCCTGTACTCTTGTCAACAGCAGGGACATTGAGGATGCCATTGGCATCAATATCAAAGGTGACCTCAATCTGAGGAACACCACTCGGTGCAGGATGTATGCCTATGATTTCAAACTTGCCAAGCACGTTGTTATCCTCAGTTATGGCACACTCACCTTCATATACCTGAATAAGCACACCAGGCTGGTCGTCAGAGTAGGTAGTATAGGTCTGTGTCTGCTGGGTAGGAATGGTAGTATTGCGTTTGATGAGGGCTGTCATGACTCCACCAGCAGTTTCAATACCAAGGGAAAGAGGAGTGACATCCAAGAGCAGCAAATCTTGAACATTTTCATATTTGCCTCCGGAGAGAATGGCCGCCTGAACAGCTGCACCACAAGCAACAGCCTTATCAGGGTTGATGCTCTTATTCAATTCTTTTCCACTGAAGAAATCTTGTAGAAGCTTCTGGATCTTAGGGATACAGGTAGAACTACCCACCAGGACAATGTCATGGATTTGTGACTTGTCCAGTTTGGTATCTTGAAGAGCATTGTAACAGTTTGCCCAAGATAAGCTTCTGCAATTTCCTTCATCTTTGTCAGCACCACAGAAGATACTGCCTCTGGATAGAGGCTCTTTGTCTCTCCTTTGTATTCAACTTGAACCTTGAGTCTGCCTGCTTCATTCACCACCATGAAAGGCCAATGTTTCATATCAGACTGGTCTATGATCTATTTTGAATTGATTTATTTATGATGTGACATAAAATCTGAGGTTAAATATTTTTCCAAATAGGTATCTATTTGTTCCAGTACCGTTGTTGAAAAGATTATCTCCTCGTGTGATTGTCCTATCAAAAATCAATTGCTCATATATGCGTGGCTCTATTTTTTGACTTTTTATTCTGTTCCATTGATCTATATGTCTATCCTTTTGTCAATAGCATCATTCTGTTTTGATTATTACAGCTTTATAGTAAGCCTTGAAATCAGGTAGTGTAAGTCCTCTTTGTTTCTTTTTTCCAAAATTATTTTAGTTATGCTAAGTCCTTTTCACTTTCATATAAATTTTACAATCAGCTTGTCAATTTCTAGAAAAACACTTTTTGGAATTTTGATTGTGATTGCATCCTATATACAGTTCAATGTGGGGGAGAATTCCATTTTAGCAAGACTGAGTCTTGTAATACATGAGTATGGAATATTTTCCCTTTATTCAGATGTTCTTTAATTTTAGGCATCAATGTTTTATAGTATTCAGTGTATATCTATATATATATATATATTTGTTTTCTTTTTTTTGAGGCAGAGTCTCACTGTGTAGTTCAGTCTGGCCTTGAATTCACAATATAGTCCATGCTGGTCTTGTAGTTGAACTGGCTGCATTCTGCCTTTACCTTGCAAGTGCTAGGATTACAGGCATGTGTCACCATGCCCAGCCAGTGTACATCTATCACACATTTGTTACTTTTATACCAAATATCTTACATTTTGATAGCATTGTGGGTAGTAATTTTTTTTTGAGACAGGGTCTCACTATGTAGTTGAGACTGACCTGGAACTCACTATGTAGCCCAGGCTGGTCTTGAACTCACAGCGATCCTCCTGCCTCAGCCTCCCAAGTGCTGGGATTACAGGTGTATGACACCTGTAATAGTAATAATTTTTAATTTAAATTACCAATTGTTCATTGTTAACATATAGAAATACAATTAATTTTTGTACATTGACCACATAGACTGTTATTACTAAATTCATTTAGTCTGACAACTTTTTCTATAGGTTCCTTAGTATAGTAATAACTTGGTTCACAAATGCTTCTATTTAGAAACATTTCATTTTGTGAACAGAAGCACTGGGCAAACATTTGCCTTAATTTTCAAACTCCACATCGAGTGACTAAACATTACCAAGGCCATCTTCCCCAGAATCGAGGAAAGAATTAAGTTCTTGAATCAAGGCACCACTGTGTTTTTCATACATGTGATCATGTCATTTGCAAATAAAGACAGTTTCATTTTTTTCTTGCTAGTCAGTTTGCTTTTATTTTATTTTCTTGCTTTATTTTACTGGCTAGAGCCTTCAGTACAATGTTGAATAGTAGTGGTAAGTATAGGTGTCCCTGCCTTGGTCTAGCTTTCAGTCTTTCCCCGTTAAACGTGATGTGAACTGCAGGTTTTTCATAAATATCCTTTATCACGTTAAGGAAGTTCTTTTCTAGTTTTAGATTTTTGAAAGATTTTATCAGAAATGGATATTGAGTTTTGTCTAATGCATTTTCTGCAACAGTTGAGATGAACATGAAAGTTTCTCCTTAATCTCTTAATTGCAGCATTTAACAGTGAAAAGTTGAAAACAACATAAATGTACCACAATAAAGAAATGTTCATGTAATGAAATTGTACCTAGAAGTTAAAAATAATGAACTATTTGCATAAATGTCAGCGTGGATACAGCTTAAATACTGACTGCATAGTGAAGAAAGAGTATAACAACTGCAGCAGATATGTGTTTTGTTGGGGGCATACCTTCAGCCTCCAAACAGTATTTTAGGGGATTCTCTGAGCAGTCAGAGAACAGAGAACATGACTAATTTTAAAACAGAGACTTTAATTTACTCAGTACTGGAGAACTGAAACCAAAAAGTAGACTCTAAGGACTCCCAACTCTAGAGATAGAAAAACAAAAGGAAAAGGTTAGGATATTTAAAACTCAAAAGATTGGGGAGGCTCTTAGGTGTGATTGGATCTAAGGGGTGATTGGCTGCTACTGGTGTATGCGCTCAAAGTGGGCATGAGGAGCTGGTTGTGGGATAGTTGGGAAGATTGTAACCTGGAATCTATCGCTACTATTGACATGAATCACCGCTGATGGGCTAAAGTAATGCTGACTGGCACAAGAAGTACGTAGGAAGAAGCATTGATATTTCCTTTTCCCCCAGACTTGCAGCTTGCTGCTAGGGTCTTTTACTGGTAGAGCCAATATAGGGAGCAGGTGGTGAAGGAGAAATGTGGTTTAAAGAGTCTCGGCCTCAACATCACAATGTGGTACTGTATACAGCAGAGTGGGCTTGGAGTTAAGAAAAAATAGTTTTGTAAGTAGCACTTGTGTCTCTATTGAAAGATAGTGTCTTGTCTCTGCAAAAGGATCAGATATACCCTCTCCTTAATTTTGGCGGCAACAGTCCAACCTAGGCAATTTGAGTGGACTTTGAATCTTAAGAAAGTGATGTCAGTCTATGGCCATACCTCCCTGAACACGCCCGATCTCATCTGATCTCCGAAGCTAAGCAGGGTCGGGCCTGGTTAGTACTTGGATAGGAGAAAGCGATGTCAACCTTCAGGAAGGTTTGAAAAATTATTCAGGGTTGAAAACACTTATGTTGAGAGCCTAGATTCACAGTGGTGGCGAACCTGTTAGAGCTCTCAATGATAACAAACAGCTGGCTGTGGCATGTGTGCCATAGGTTAGCCACAACAGACTAGAGACAGGGTGTGTAATATGCAAGGGGCAGCCCATACTTAGTAAGACTGCCTCTGTGTCATAACCTGGCTATGCTTCCTATTATCTAGCTAGCTGCCCTTTAGCTCACCTGTCTTTTAAGACCATCTCCAGATTTTCCTTTTATATTCTAAATACCCAATAATGCATAGCTCCTGCTTAGTTTATTTTATCCAAGCACTCAAGGTGATGAAATATCATGAATGTGAAATATATATTGTGAGACAGGGTCTCACTATGTAGTTCAGCCTGGCTTTGAACTCACTATGGAGTCCAGGCTGGCCTTCTGGCCTTGAACTCACAGCAATCCTCTTGCTTCAGCTTGCCAATTGCTGGGATGCTACCAGGCCTGGTATGAATGTGAATTTTAACAAACGACTAAAACAAATATTGTAAAAACATGAGTTTTGTTAGTAATATAGTTTCTAGTTCTGGGGAATGGAGTTAAAAGAATTTTTTTTGTACTTTTATAATTTTTTATTTAAAAAAATTTTTTTTGGCTTTTTGAGAAGGGTCTCACTATGTAGTTGAGACAGACCTGAAACTCACTATGTAGCCCAGGCTGGTCTCGAACTCACAGCAATCCTCTTGCCTCAGCCTCCCGAGTTCTGGGATTGCAGGCGTGCGCCACCAGGCCTGGCTTTGTACTTTCATAATTTTTAGGTTTCTCAAAAAATTAAAATTTACAATCGAGTACCCATATGAAAATTATTTTAAAAATCTGACAAGGCATAAATCATCCAAATACATTTACTTCCTTCTACATTCCTATGTTTTAAAAAGGTGCATTTACCTGTCAAATATATCTGAATATTAATTGGTAGATACAGGAAGTAAAGGTGATATACAGAGTTTTTGTTCTAAATAATCAATTTTTCCAAAACCTAATTTCCTACTCCCATTTTCTAGGTAGTACGAACTAGTATTAGGCTTTGAAAGTTGTTCTGCATTTCTTACACTTTATAAGTCTTTCAGTAGTAAGTTTGGACAAGTTTTTTT